GAAGAAAGTGCAAGCGCATTTTAAGCATTTACAAATTGGGAAAAGTTTTCTGAAAAGTACAACAAAGAAGGGTGACAGTAGTGAGAAACCGTTGAGTGCTTATGTATGTATGTATGTATGTGCTTGTGTGTCTGTAGCCATGGCGCTTGGACATTGTTGACACCCTAACAAGATGCACTTTTAATTGCCAGAATGATGGCGTTGATGATAATTTTTTATTAAATTATTAAATTAACGCAGTTAGAAGTTGTCCATTCGAATGTTGTAGAAATGCAGTGTGCTTGGGGTTTTGTAATTTCAAATTGTTGAATGCGTACAAATGGCCAGCAATTAAAAGCGCGCCTAATGCGAACAAACACACACAAAAACACATACATACATACATATATAGAGATGAACGCAGGGGGTTAAGCTAAACGATGTGGACTTCAGCACAATCATAGTTGTTAATGTTTGCTAACAAGAGGCAACAACTGTGTACGAACGATAGTATCTGCAAATAATTTCTATAACTTTTATGAATGTTTGGGTGTAAATGCTTTGACTTGCAATGTACGTACGAATGTACTATCCCAATATGCACAAAGCAAACATTTTTCAACCTTTTTCCAATCTTTGAGAGATTCTTGATTTTCTCCAACATTTTTCCCAAGGCTTGACTAAAAGTTGAATAAACTTTGAATTCAAATTGATATCGAAACTTCTCTCAAGTGGAGAACTCAGATTATTTTCCATACAAAAAATGTGCCGTTTTGTTGGAGAATGGGTTGGCTCTCCAATTGAGGTACACTTGAAAATCAACATTGGACCTTGGAACTTTTATTGGATCTCCACTTGATCTCCAACTCAAATGTTTATTGGGATGTATGGACTTGCTTTCATACATACATATGTACATGCATACATATGTACATACATGCACTAACTTTCAATTTATCAAATGCATTTGTTGTTGCAGCATATAGTCACAATCTTCTAATCGCCTCCAGCAGCAGCTCAACTGGCACTTTGGCTGCCGTCTGGCAAGTTCGCTTAGAATTTAATTCGATTAAGGCAAGAAAAATGTGAAGCAGTTAATTCGTGTTAATGCTGTGTGTAATTTAACAACTCGGAGAGTTATGGCATTTTAATTAACGAATGTGCAACCTGCATGCGCGAGCATTAAAAAATGTGTTGTTTACTATGGAGCTAACAAAAACTGAAATTTAGAAGGAAAAAAAAATTACTCTATCGTAGATGCATAACATTTTTATGAAGTTTTATATGGATAATCTCTTGCAGTGTGTTAAAAAATTGCAGCTAGTCCAAACGGCCTCCTCTAAAAAAATTTATTTCGTTTCATTTTGAATATTTTTTTTTATAAGTATGTATATGAAATGCAGCCCATGCTTATGGAAAAAATTGGGCTATTTAAATAACGGGGGCGACCGATTTTTAGCTATCTTTGAATTTTTTCATAATTCTCTGTAGGTGTGCTTATGAGTGAGATCCTCCTAAATGGGTGTCCGGATTTTAACGAAATTGTTTGTGTATGTTTGAGTGGGTCTCTTAGTTTCACAATTTAACCAGCCAGGTGGCGCTGTTGTTGAGTTATTACTAAAAATCTTATTTATGATTCGATTTGGCTAATATTTAAAATATGTATTGGTAACGGCAACAGAAATACTATTGCAAAAAAGTGCTGCCAGATGGCGCTGGAGTCGAGTTATCACTAAAATTTGCTCAAAATTCGAAAAAAAGCGCCACTTACTTAATTTTTGACATTTTTTTGCATATTATTATAATAAATAATTGTTTAAAAAATGATAGGCACATGAAAACTCTAGGCAATCGAATTCTCTACGAATTTGTTTACCTTTTTTCACGAGAAATGCAAAGTTCGCGCGCAAACCGTAAAAAACATAAAAGCCAAGATGGCAGACACTTCCCATATCGCGATTGGGCGAAAAGGAGACACCTAACTGCGTCAAAAAAATGTTTCCTGGAATTTTTTTATTCTTACGTCGATTTTGGTCTAAAGTGATCGGGCTATATTTTGACCACAGGCATAAAGTTAAGGCCTTGTTTAAGATCCAATCTACTGAAAATGAGGGTTCCAACATTAAGCCAACATTTTGAGTGTGAATTCAAAATTCTGAGTTTGGTGTTTTTGTCTACTCGACTAGGCTCACGACTTGTCCAAACCTTAAAAGAGTTTATGAACATTTTTCTAATTTTCCTTTGATTGTGTTGATTTTAAATATCTGTGTTCGTATGGAAAAGTAGCTTATGTCGAAAGGCTGGCTTTAGTATAAATCGGCATTCGCAGCATACGATTGCGAATGACTTTCGGGCGCTAAGCCGTTAAACAACTTTTAGCAAATAAACGTGCAAGAAAAATTTCCGATACTAGCAAGTCAATATTCTTTTTAAGTCTGATCAAAAAATTCCTTGTCGTTTAAAAAATAAAGGGAATGCCGCATTATACTAAAGCCGGCCTTTCGACATAAGCTACTTTTCCATACGAACACAGATATTTTTTTTTTTTTGTTAAGGGGAAGAAAGCATGGTGGAATAATAACAAGGTGTTGTCAGTAGCAACGTGTTTGTTGGGATTTTGACAAGATCGGCATGCTTATTTTCAGTGCTGCCGATCTCAATTTTTATACTACTATTCGTTGGGAAATAGTATCTAAAATACTCCATTTTAGTAATTCGTTTTATCGCGATTTTTAAAGAACTTGGTGTTTTCAGAACAATATTAATATTTAAAATTGCTGGATTTGTATAATTTTTGTCCTCAAAAAGTAGAAAAATAAAAGATATCGTGGTTATCAATGGAAAAAAACGTACACAAAAATCGTATGGAAAGGCGCTCTTTTATATTAAATAACTTTTGCTGCATTGTCATAATATTGAGCCAAATGAACTACTGATACACTAGAATAGAGTGGCTGCATGGTTAAATTAGGAATTCGCTTATATTATCGATATTTATGTGTTTTAATCTATTTAGAAAATCATTTACAGTCTTATAGGAAATTGCCTTATTTTACGGCTTTTATTTTTTTAAAGTTACAATATATGTCCAAGCTGTGTGGAGCTGCCGATACAAACATATATTCAGGCTTATAAGCCTGTAATTATACATTTTTCTACATTTAATTTGAAATAGTATGCACCAACGGATTAAAGGTAGTAAATAATTAATACCTTTTCTAGTACTTTAAAATGCGTGACCGGAATAGACCTGCCGAAAAAGTGAGGTTAAGTTACTGACAACACCTTGTTATTATTACACCATGGGAAGAAAGTATCTACATGAGAAATTGCCAAAAATCAACTTAAAGTTTAGAAATTATTATTAAAAAATTTTAAATTTTGATGAAACATTGCAGCATTTTCATAAGTTTTGCATAAAGTATGAAACATGGAGTTATATGGTTAAAAAGAAAAATAAACATTAAATAAACAAAAGAAAAATAGCCAAAACTTGCTAAAATGTCGCGCCTCTATTTATTTTTGCACTACTATACATGCAGATATTTGAATTTGATCTGGGTAACAAAGTTTTTTATTTATATAGATATTATAGATTTGTAACATTTTTTGCAATATCTGTATCCTTTAGCATAAAAAAATTTTACCAAATTAAAGCGGACTGAACCGCGGTTCAGGGATTTTTTCTAAGTGGTTCGAACCACTGAACCGAACCGCACCGATTTTTGGAGTGATTTGCAGCCCTGGTACATATTTATATAGCGGTGACCAGGGGCCTATTTCATAAAAGTGACAGGTGCGACTATTGTCGATTTTTCAATGAAATTTCAATTCCATAATTGTCGGCGACATTTCTTCTGTTTCATATACGCTTGTGGGCAACTGTGAAAATTTTAAAATTTTTGGAAAGTGACAGTGATAATACTGGAATATTGCCGACAATGGTGCTGACAATTGTCACTCTGACAAAATTGCCGCGACAATAGCGACAAAACCAAATTGCTGTAGGAAAGTTTTCACAGGAGTTTTGTAAATTTATTTATATGGTAATTACGCGAATTTCATTACTTTTCAATAATTTGAATATTTCTTAAAACTAAATTAATGCAAATGCAATTATTACATATGATTTACATATAAATTTCATATAACTGGTAACAATTTTGTCAACGAAAATTTTAAAATCCGAAATGACAATTTTTCACTTTTCCTTTGGAATTTCACATCATCATTAAATAATTAAAGGTTTGCTTACTAGTGACATCAATAATTGCATAAAAACGACATTTCTTGCCCGCATTTGATAAAAAAGGAAAAATATTTCACATAATTTTAATTATCTGCAAATGCTGACAGACGACGCACGCGAAAAGTTGAGAATTTGCCATCTTTCTGCGTTGTGTTGGCGTTACCGTTGCCAATTTAAAGCTATGTGGACAGCTACATTTGAAGTCAGTTATTCATAGTCAGCTGTTGAAGCGACGCCAACGCCAACGCCAACGCAAAGCCAAAGCTGTATGTAGATAGGCGGCATACACAGTGCGTCTGACTCGAGAGTCGGTTTGGATACCTTTTTATTACTGAATCATGATTTCACATGGCATGGAAGCGGTGGGATAATTAGTGCGTTCTACAACGTTTAGGATTTGCATTTCTTGCAGGATTTAGTCCAAAGTCGTTCCAGTACGTCTATGTGGACGGGCCTATAAGGTTTATTAAAGGCAAAAACAGCTGTTCCTGTAAAACCTGCAAATCGCGAAGTACGGGAACAGGCTAAATTAAACAAAACACCCATCAAACAGTCAATTTATAAAATAGGCCCCAGGGATCATATGATCGTCTGCATAACAGCGCCCTAAGACCATTACAATATGCATTCATATCTTTGGCGGAAGCAGTCGCCGTAATCTTTGTTGTGCATAACTTTTGATCGGAAATCTTTCCAGCCTGTATTGAGAACTTATGCAAAAATCATCAAACTAATTTCATCAATTTAATTATAAACACACATATTGACTCACCTGGTGCCTTTAACGTTTCGGCAGAGGGTTGAGAGGAGAGATCAATGAACGCAAACAGTGCAAATGCCAATACGGACAATGGCAAGTGACCACCGTTGGCTGAGACAGCTGCTTTTTTCGCAATGCACTTAAGGATCTAGCTTTAAGAAAATGTTGGTGAATAATTTAAAGTTTGCACTATCTTTGTAACATTATTTAATCGTTATTTATTATATTAATTTTGCACTTTTTCGCGACACGGCGCGTCAACATAAATTAGGCCAACAACCAAAACACAACAGAGAAAAACTAACGAAATTTGACAGTTTAATGACAGACTTGTTGATTAAATGAAAGCTGCGAGCGGCGCTGCTTGAGTTGTCAAAATAGGTCCCCTTGGCGACATCTGCATATGAACAGTGTGAAGTGAAACTGCAGGGTGCTCCAGCGTTTTGAATAAATGATGGTTTATGACTATGGTTCGATGGAGAGCGTAAATGTTTGAGCAGAGAACGTATATAAATGAAACGCGCATTTTCAGTGACCGTTTTTGTTCTGAAGAAATTTTGAGTTGCGGTCGAGCAAACATACCACTCGCCGACGAAATATACCACTCGTCGACGAAATGCCGGCTGTCACCACCAGTGTTGCCATTTTAACCGTTTTCCGGCTAGATTTAGCCGGTTGCGATAGCAAACAGCCGGAGAAATTTCGATTTAGCCGGCAGCCCATTTGTTAGCCGGTTTGCAGGAAAAAATTAGCCGTTTTTAGCCGATTTTGCTATATGCCTTGTTTTCTTAAATTTCAAATATATGTTTCCATTTTTGACTAAGCGACCCAAAATCTGTTAAAAATGGCTACTAGCCTTATCGTGGAGAAAATTTTCATGTCAGGCAGGATTTTATGAAATTGGGCCGATTTCGCTTATTTTTATTTTAAACGAAGAAGGGGTTTTCTTCATAAAATTTTTGTTATAAATGTCTTAATTTTAAGTGTGAACTTTTATTCGCAAACTTAGAAAATAAGAAATTGTTTCACTGTTAAGACTCTTAAGATTGGATATAGTGCCAACAAACAGAATAAATATTACATGTAGATATTGTCTTCCCAGATAGCGCATATTCAATTCTGCCTAAATTACAAAACATCATTTTTGCCTACTCCCAAAGGTTTAAGGTAAGGGAAATTTTTTTTTAAGCACTATATTTTTTTAAATAAACTTTTTTGCTGAGAACTTATTTAAATTCCAAAAACCGAATGCCAACTTGAATTAAAGGAACCAACACTGAAGTGAGTCAAAATGAAAATAAAAGAGCACAAATTTCTATGTAAAGCAAAACTCTCTGGGAATCCTACGAAGCATCTGCCGGTCATATGACCGGTCATCTAAATGGGAGATCTGCAGTCTTTTGGCATCATATTTTACATCAGAATTGAAGGGATTTCTGAAAAATCTGACCAGTTTTTTGGTGTAACTTTGATTTTGCATCCCTTGTCAACATATGGCCTCGGTTGATGTCAACTTAAGGTCGTTGTTTGTCTGCCTTAAAATTGAAGGGAAGTTTTTACAGCCTTTTTTATGTGTAGTGGTTTCTATTTGAGTGTATTGAGAATCGGTCAGTCTGAAAAGGCCTTGTAGGGAAGACAATAGGTTTGTTCGTCGAAAATCCAGCGAGAATTATCACTCAAAATATCAGATAGTAAGAAAAAATGCTCCCAAATTCTCTCTCATGTAGAGAAACTTGCAATTTTCTGTACGAACGCAAATCTGCAAGTTTTTCTGCCAGAAATTTGTATAGAATTTTTAAAATTTTTTCAGAGGGGCAAAAAACAGGATCTACGTGTATATATCTTGTCAGTCCGACTTTCTTCAACATACGTTTCAATTTCTTTGTCGGGTTTACTATATCGACTCTGGTTGAGATTGCATTCCGATTAAGAATACAGTTTTTTTTTTTGCCGAGTACCTTTCAAATCATTGGAATTAACTAAATTAATTAAGTAAACAAGTATTAACTTACATTTTTCATTTTAAAATCGCTACTGTTTGTAAATTTTTAAATTTAACGAACTTGTTTATTCAAATTATCGTCGACAAAAAATCCAACCATGCGCCACAATCATATGTTTTTCCTAATTGCAAATTCTTGCTGGCAAAATTTTTTCCGGCTCGAATTTGTAACTTCTCTCCAAGAAATAGTCTTTTTACTCGTGATTTATTTAAATAAAACATGGGAAATTTAGTTGAAACATTTTAGCCGTTTTTAGCCGGTTTTATTTGCCAATTTAGCCGGTTCGCCCAAAAAGTGAAATTTTTTTGAATTTTTTTAAGTTCTGTATAAAGTTTAAAAGTTTGACTTATGTGGTTTCGACCAAAGCATGAACCATGTTCTTTAAAAAAAATAACGAAAATATTTCAACTTGAAAAACATTGTAAATATTAAAAAAAAAAAACACCATGCATCCATCGACTTTTGATTGCCTGTGTATGTACATACATACATACATACATATGTATGTCTAACAAATTATGGTTTGCTATCCAAATACCGATGTTATTTAATAAAAATAATATTATATACTTATGTAGTACAAATGTATTTGTAAACTTAATTTCTTTAAAATTATTTCTGCAATCAAATTTTCCATTCATGAAAAAGGCCAAATGCATAAATATGTATCTATGTATGTACATATGTAATCGTACGTGGATATATGTAAATCTATTTCTTGAAGTATAGAAATTTTTAATATTAAAAAATAAATAAAACATTTTTTTTTTTGTATTTATACAAATGGTGTTCAAGGCACATTGACCCCACTGTACAAAAATCGTGGCGCGTCATGGACAAAAACTTTACAATTTCGGACCGAAAATTGCGAAAACGAGCTATGTTGCCACGTTACATTTGTGAACTTGCGATAAAAGCACATATGTTTGCGATTTTAGAAGTTTTGATTTTATTAAAATAAATTAATATATTTTCCTGCAGAAAACGTACACTTTTATTTAATGTTTACTAAAATTACATCTTAAGAAACTAGTTAATTTTTGAAATATTGGTATGGAACATGGAAATAGATTGTTTTGCCAAAAAGAATTAATTAGTTGCCACTTTTCACTTGGCTGGCCGAGATTTCTTCATTTTAAGATTTTAGAATTTTTGTGTCGGATTGAAAAAGTTGCGCTTAATGGTGATGAATTTGCGGGGAGATGTGCTGCGATTGTTTTTATGAATGAATGTACTACTTGACCTTGAGAAATACGCGCATACGTTTATGAATGAAATAGTTATTGGTTTATTATTTATTTTATTTATAAGTTATTGGTTACCAAAATTTTGACCATACTGGAAGCAAACATTTTTACACATAAAAACGAGTAAGGTGCTTTATTGAACTCGACCGAAACCACTTTGGCGGTTACCGCGCCAAACAAGAAGAAGAAGACGACCTAATTCAATGGTCTATTAAACACTTTCGTTTTTAACTGCAATTGCCTCTGAAATAAGTTCATATGTACCTACACACATATATTTTTGTTCAGCAATTAATAGTAAATTGACCGTGTCATTGAAAAATTTAAAATGAACGCTTTTGATTTTGGAAAACATTTTTTTGGAAATTTCAAAATGCCAAACGTACCACTGTTTTTTTTCTAAGTTCATTTAACTATCAGAATAATATTGTAAAAAATATCTTCAACTTTGCAATGCAATGGGGAGCAACTTTATGCCATATCATCAAATGAGCAAAATTAACCTTCGCGCATGAAAGCAAACAAGCGACAAACTGAAGTCAACAGCCCGCTAAGTGATGTGTGCGAGTGCTGGCGCTTGTTACATGCAGCAAATAGCGCCACATAGCAAAGAGCAAGCAACAAAAGCAACCTGCAATTTTCACTTTTTGGGGGTTGGTACTCCAATACAATGCTGGCTAATGGTCATGCGTGGCTGGTGTGGTTAATTATTATTTTTTATTGCCAAATGGCAATGGGTTAATCCATGTCAAATCTGCCAATGTTTGGAATCAACAATTTTTGATTTGGATGAATTTTGGTCAGAACTTTTCTTTTACGCACAAAGAACCCTTAAGGATATTTTTTCGAAAGTTCAAAATTTCACAATTTTCGCTATTTTGCGCGTTAGTTTTTTGCATATTTCGCAAAAGTTTTTAACATAATTTTATTTTGAGTTTGGAAAAAATTCAATTTTTCAATTTTTTTTTATTTTTTAAAACAAATTTTACCTATATTTTTTATAAGTTTATTTTTTTATGATTTTTTAACTTCAAAATTCTCTAAAATTTTTATTTTCGAATTTTATTTATGTATATTGTTTTATGACCCTAAATATCGCCGTTGAAAACAGACCAAAACCATTTTTGTTACTATAATAAGTTTTGAGATATTCAAAATATATAAGAATTTTGCATAATTTTGGAAAAAAAATTTAATTGTTCCTTTGACAGAACTTTGTTGTATCATAAAAGAAAAGTTCTAACCAAAATTCTTCCAATCAAAAATGGTTGATTCCAACCATTGGTTGATTTGACGTGGATTGGCCCCAACACAAAAAATATAAACAGTGGACAGTTACATGCATATGTCGAAAAAAAAAACAAAACAAAATTACCTTTAAACACACATGACACATTTCCATACTTGCTATGCTGCAGTAACATCAAATTTTTTATTCTTTAGTTTTTTCTTTGCATTTTGTTTTGTATAAATTTCATCAGCGAGCCACAGTTGAATGCATTCATTAACTACTTATATAAGTGTATATGTACAAGTAGTGCAAACTGTGGCTTTACGCCGATTAAAGCATACTTTGTTATTACATTTGGGGTTTTTTTTTTCAAAAGTTAAATCAAATAATTTTTCTGCTTTTTTTACCTATTACCTAAAATTAACCTCATAAATTAAGCTACTATAAAAGCAAAAACGCATTTTTACGCAAATTATTTTGCTGTGCGTGGCTGTGCGGTGTGACAATAACTAAAATACTCAGATAACTTCATTAGCATAGTAAAAGTAAAATTATGCTGTCAATAAAGTTATTTGTGTCCTGCGCGCTTTTGCTTGTCAGCTACTGCGTGAGTTCAAAAAATAAGAAAATAATAGCTGGTTATTTTTCTAATAGTGTTTTTGTTCTTGGTTTTTATATGCATATCTACATATTTTCTAGTGCGCCGAATCGCCGGAATTTGATTGTCAACGACCACCACGTTTAGTGGTAAGTAAACAAGTGTTTTCAGAAGTAACGCAAAACAAAAGACTTAAGCTAAGAATTTGAGATCTAATGGTCGACAGCCAAATATGTAAGGATAAAATGTGAACAAATTGTGAGTAATATTTTAATACTGTTTAACTTCGACTGTTTTAAGTACGCAATTAATGTTTTGATGATTGTAACTACAGCGACTCTCGGCCATAAGAAAGATCAGTGCGTTCAAATCAATTGAGCTAAGATTTGATCTGCTGCACTGTGTCTTGTAAAGCACATACAGCTCAACATTATATCCTCACCAATTTTGTTTGACAAAATTAGACTTAATTCCTCAATTGGATTCGCATCTTGATAGCGAAAAGAAACGAGGTCGCCTTCATTTTTCGAAACTATAATTGTGAAACAGTCACATGTGTGTCGAGGAACCAATGCGCTATTTACCGTTTCTTTGATGAGAGGAGATACTTCGTTTTGGCCTCGTTCACTTTGAGACATTCGCTTTGCTTTCAGTATTATTATAAATTAGAAAGAAAAAAAAAACAAATAAAATAAGTTCCTAAAAATTAAAAGAAATTAAAGAAAAACATTTTTCTTTTTAAATTAATAAAAACTAAAAATTGATAGAATATTAAATTGAAAAGGAAAAAAATACGAAATAAAATATTTAAGTTTCTAAAAATGAAATTAGGTTATTTTTTTTTCAAAAAAGTCTAGAATTTAAATAAAACTTATTTAAAAAAAAAAATTAAATAAGTTCCTAAAAATTAAAATAATTTAAAAAACGGTTTTTAAAGCACTAAATCTAAAAGGAAAAAAACAAATAAAAACATTTTAAAAATTAAATCAAATTAAAAATATTTTTTTTTTAATTAATAAAATCTTTAAGTAAAAAGAAAACCAACCTAAAAAAAAATACATAAAATAAGTTTATAAAAATTAAGTGCAACTAAGAAATATTTTTCATTTTTAAAACCATAAATTCTAAAAATGAAATTACTCGTAAAAAGAAACAAATATTGAATTTAAAAAAAGTCGCTATGGCAGCGCCAGAAAATTGAAAATGCTCAAATGCTTTTTGTCAAAAGAGCTTTTCACTTTCGTGCCAGAGAAATATTACGTTCAACATGCCATATGTTTAATAATAGAAAATTTTTCATAATTTTTGTAATTTTAACGTCTAGCGAAAAATCGGCATGAGAGAATAATAGAAACGCATGGCACGCATGCCATAACCTCAGCAATACAAATTTTAATTTTACATATCGAGCTCTAACTGCCGAAAAGATGAAGTGAAATTTTTTTTCAAAATTTTATTTTTGATGCAGAAATGCATCTAGGAACATTTCTGCATTTATTAATGCAGTGCCACGAGTATTTTAATTATTATTTTTTATTTCTATACTCAGCTTTATTTCAATAAGGAAACATTCAATTACTTATCCACGAATTATTATAACCAAAATTCTTTAAAACTACTCGCATATACTTTACACTCTATAACCTGCAGGATCCAACGCTTTGCTGTAAGGATGGTGGCTATGGTCAGACCACAGAGGTTTGCGGCAAACGCATGGGTATAATCGGTGAAGGCAATCATGGGCCACCCACTGTGGAAAAAGCTACGGTACGTATGAGTATATACTTTAAAATAAAGATATCTTTCATAAAGTATATTGGAATAAATTTCTTACATCCCTTGTCAATTTTTGTTTAGAGATTAACCGGTTTCGGCGCTGTGCCATCCTCAGTGTCCCAAGAGAATGCGAACTTGACACTGAATATGGCACAACGCCGAAACTGATTTGCCTCCCAACCAAAATTGACAAAGAATGACGAAAATTTGTTCCAAAATACATCATACACAAACCTTCCTGTCGGCAGCATCAACAATCAAAATGAAAAGTCCTTAATTTTTGTCCTCCCCCGCACAGTGCTTCGCCGAGTGCATTCTCAGAGAACTGCATTACATTCAAGATCCAGAGAGGCTCAACTACGAAACTATGCACGCGGATATGCAGGCCAAATACGGCAATGACACCGTCTTTGTGGACACAATGATGGGAGCGTTTCGCAAGTGTGAGCCTGATGTACAACAGAAGTTGCAAGCATTCAAGCAAATGACGCTTCTTGGTGCTGCTGCCGCACTACGACGTGGCTGTAGTCCATTCTCCGGTATGCTACTTGGTTGTACGTATATGGAATATTTCAAAAATTGTCCGGCACATCGCTGGACTGAGACCGAGGAATGCGCGCTCGCGAAACGATTTGTTACACAGTGTGCTTTGGGTGTAAAACAAACTTAAATACTAATTAAATACATACATACATGAATTCATAAATGCAATTAACAATATATTCAAGTTGATATGGAGGAAAAATATGTGTGTAAACATTTGATAAATTTAGTACAAATAAATATTAATAAAAAATATATGTAAGAATTTTCGCTTTTCCAACAACACATTTTGTATCAAATATTTAATTTACTTGCGAGATTTAGATGAAAGTCTTCGGGCAATGCAAAGGGATAAATGAAATCATTGCGATGTTTTCTCAAGAAACGCAACAACGTCTTCTCTACCTCCGATGTGTATTGCAAATTGGCCATCTGACGTTTCAGGAATGTCTTGCGCGCCTTGCGATCCATTACTTGGCCCTGGTCAAGTGCAATGTTTATTCAAATATATCTGTATTGAACATATTATGTCCAATTCAAATGCCTCTTACCCAATTCATAATTTTCTTGGCTGTGTCAATAGTTAGCATACGAATTTTGCGACGCAAATCATTAAATTCAGAATGCATAATCAGCTCCGTCCATGGTTCCTCAAAGAAATCAATAAAACTTTTAATTTCTTGCAGATACCAACGGGCATGCAAATCATTCAATAATGCCTCGTGGTGGCCCACAAAATATTGCAGATGATCGAAACTACGCTTCTATGTGAGCACAAATAGAAATAAATATGCGTGAAAAATCTAAAATTTTAAATTATTATTAATTAGATCGTGCTACCTTACAAGCAAAAAAAAAAAAAATATAAAAAACGTAAAAAGTTGACCCCTCTGTTCGGCGAAAAAAATGTCTTATCGAAATTAACTTGCTAAAATACATTTGTTGGGGGTGTACGGTGAACTTTTTTTTCCCCCGGCCCGGTCTAATGCACATGTACATGCTACTTTTTTGATGCCAACTTACAGTTTGTGATACAACCACTATCTCCTCTACGATGCCATGCACATTGATGCGTACTCTTGAAAAATTACCATCGTAAGTGACTAGCGAGAGCATATAGCTATTATCTAAATGATTTGCAATATATCGCTTAGGCAGAATCACTTTAGCCATATAATAGCCTAGTGGCAATTGAGCTTGAAAGTAGACTGGTAGTAAATATTTCTCAGAATATTCAACAACATCGTCCTCCATCAAATTGAGACCATGTATTAGCTAGAATGAGTTAAAGCTTCTAATTAAAGATTAATTAGCATTCGCTTAGAATATAAAACATAAATATTACGTATTTTGTTAAGGCTGCATACGAGTACAATATAAAATACTACAAAAATGAGATTTTGATATAAAAATCCATCTAAGACTTAACTGGCATCGGTGATATTAATACTGATCTTGTATAGCGCTTGACAAAAAAATTTACAATAAAATTGCAAAGTAATAATTAACAACAGTAATGACAGGTATGTAAGTCCCAGATGGGTTCTAACATGGCAAAGTAGTTTTTGTGAAAATTGCAGATAGAGGGTATTAAATATAAGCCCTCGATATCGACACCTGAGTGGAAGATTATTTTCTTCAACATTACATATTATCTTATTTGTTTACATGTTGTTTTGTAGGTGCTCTCATATTTGAATTCGATCAGACATAACAACAAAACGATAGTATAAAATTTTGACCTTTATTTTATTTGTCCTGAAAATGAAAAAGAATCTGCGAAGTGCAGAAAAAAAGTGTATTGAAAGTAATTTTTGAATGAGGATATTTAAATAGAAACTTGTAAAGAAAATAAACGCCCGATAACGTCTGCATGACTTTACAACTAACTTAAAGTTAGTTTTGTCATAGCTAATTAAAGGTTAGTTATTTATCGAAGTCCCGCAAAAAAGCTAACTAGAAGTTGGTTATTTTAATCTATTGATAATTTTTTTTCTGCAGGGATATTAGTCTGATATAACTTAATTTTTATTTTTTAATTGCTTTTGTGCCCTTATTTTTAATTTATTTATTCTTATTTATTTTCATTTCATCTGTTAATTCTTTTAATAATTTATTTTGTAGTTATTTACTTTTCTTTACTTCATATGACTTATTTTTATTTTTCAACTTATGTAATGTTTTTTTTTTCGTTTTTTGCTCCCTAATTCTGCATTTATTTGTTTTCATTAAATTTTGTTCGTTCTTTCTCATTCGTTTTTTTCTAACTCGATATTTTTTTATTTATTTCATTTAATTTAACACATTTTTTTATGTTTTACTTTATTATTTTTACTTAAATTTAATATATTTTACTTCATTTAAGTGATATGATTAAAGATATAATTTTTTCAAAAATAAATATTGCAAACTTTCAAGAATATTCAATACATATGCACCAAAAAATTGTATCTGCTTTATTTCAACAGAATTTTCTATATTACACAGAATGTTTTTGAGTGTAATCGTATTTTTAATATTTCAAAGTCCCTTCAAAAGAAAGCCTGACGTCAAAGATAAAAACTAAAAACGCAGTTTTACTATACTTGGGACATGGGTTCGCGAGTTTATTGAGTTTCGTGTGTAAATAAATAAATATAAAATTTTGCCTAACGAATTTCCTTACCTTAGCCGCTATTTCATCTTTGGCACAATGTTTGTATTGATGATTCGGAGTCACTCTCAAGCGGGTGCAATTTCCCACAACAAAGATATTCGGATCACTAGTGCGAAAATGTTCATCGATTAATATTCGAGAATCCTGCATTTCAATTCCTGCATTTGCCATTACTGAAGTGCATAGATGTAAAACATTTAGCATTGTGGAATATTTTTAAATAAACCACTTGCATCGCACTTACTATCCAATACATCCGTGCCGATGATGTGCGTATGAAAACTGACAAATAGATCACAAGGTAAAGTCATTATATGACCGTCGGGATGATGTTCGAATACAGCATGCGATATAATGCATTCACCCTGATAATATATCCATTCCTTTAGAATCCAATTTGTTTCAAGCTTTACACCTAAATCCTCAGTCATCTCCTGTAGTATTAACTCAATATTAATATCCATATTGCTTATATTGTACTTCGCGTATGATGCATGTCCTTCCGCATCCCATGGCATAACCAAAGTTATATTTAGCGGTGGTATTTTGTGATTAAGTAGAAAATTAATAAATTCAAAAGTGCCTAAACGTGAACCGAAAACAATTATATTGATATCATTGGCATTGCGATCATTCCAAATGGCTTGGAGTTTATAATAGAGCGTTATTTTATCGAAACGATTGTTCAAGTGCATATAGTTTGTTGGGCGTGGGCAACGCTGTACGGCTGGTGGTACACCAAATCGCTGACTTAATGCAAAAATTAGACTATGATAATAAAGCTCGCAGCCATTGGTCAAGATCAATTTGCGTTCGTCTCTGTAAAATAAAGTGTAAATGTGCGCTTGAGTTAAACTGACAAAGTGGGTAGAAGGAACTTTAGCAATAAGCCTGTACAAATAGTTAATGTAATAGACAATATGGTTAGCAAAAAAAAAATAAAAAAAATTGTTACTAATCTGTATTTTCTTGTTTGACACTAAAACTGTTTATGGGTTTAGGCCAAGACCGAAAACCTTCGCCAATTGCGTTTTTCCTTGCTGAAACTCCGTCAGTTACTCACACCAAGCATAGCTAATTCCTTCTATTCTTGGTCCTTCCACTGTACTCGTTTGTGCCCATGCTTTCGTTGTTCGTCCATGGGTGTACATGAAGGTAAAAACTCCTACTACTCGTCATTCCATCTTCTTCGAAGCCATAGATCTGGTCTATAATAGTTTTATCGAAAGTCGAAGTACTTATTTTAAGGCTATTGTTGTTAGTATCAATTTTCAGAAAATTAGCGTCCTTAAAATTCGAATTATCGAAGCTTCAAGCCTTTCTGAAATTTACCGTTATACGAAAAGTGGCCGTAAGTTTAGTCCGATTTCTATAATTTTCAACGATTTGCTTTTATTTGGCAAGCACAATAATCATACAGAGTTTGGTACAAATTGGTCGAACGGTTACCGAGATAAATATATGTGATCATAAGTGGACGATGGCATGCCCATTTTCCAAAAATTTATCATAAACGTATTTCGAGCTAAAGAATTATTACAAGCATTAATTTTGAATGAATTAGCTTCAGTATTTACAGATTTATTTATCGAAGATTTCGTATTTCTCTAAATTTTAAAAATTTTCAGCCATTTGGTATGTTGTACCATGGCCAACAACTGTGCCAAGTTTGGGAGAAATTCCAAAAATTTATAATACTACTATTTTTCGTCTAAAAATAATTGTAAATATCAATTTTGAGTCAGGAGTTATTTATCGAGCCCTCGAAACGCACAGGTATCGAAATTATCCAAATAAATCGAGTTATCGAATTTTAGTGTTTTTGAAATTCATCGAATTATCGATATCACCTTGTCGAAATTTATCGACAAACTGGAATGTATCGAGTAAATTGCAAATCCTGCTAAAGTCCTCTAAAGACCTTCAGTATTTCAAAAATTGCATTCACGTTTTAGTTCCAAAGTAAAATATTTTCTGGTCCCCTTATTTTGTACCTTATAAAGTAAGCGACGTGTTAAGTTAGAAAACCTCTCCAAAACTCTTAAAAAAAAGAAAAACGGTTAAATTTCGGCAGTAACTGATACTCCTACTACATTGTTAAAAGGCCACTCGACTCCATTTTCATGAGCGAATTTTATTCCCGAAAGCAAAATCATCCGCAAAAACAATGAAAGTTTCGGAGGAAAAACAAAAACATTTGATGCGAAGTGTTTTCGACGCCTGGAATATATTCCGGAAATACTAAATTTTATATGTATATGTAACTATACATACTGCTTTTTTATCCAGAAAGTGGCTGTGCCAGTATTAAATTTACCGCTATTCTGCAATCACAAATTTATGCCAACAATTGAATTATGTAGTATTTCGCTTACCTTTTGATTTTCTTCACATCGGAACTAACGAATGAAAAATATTTGCGGAAATCCATGCAACTAATGGTGTCCCGTATAAAACTGTTACTATTTTCCCAGTTTATGTAGCAGTCATTTTGATTTTCACAGACCTCACATTGAAAATTACGATCGTAGATGCCTTCCACAACGCCCACCGATGAAATTATGGTAACGCGGTGGCGTGGCAGACAACAATGACATTTCAGTGCGCTAAGTAAATATTTAAAAAAAAAACCGCAAACGTTTAAAAAAACTAAATTTAGTACATAAAAAAACGTGTACCTTGAGTTTTTAAAGTTGAAGAGAAATATTCGCAGTAAAGCGCGAGTCATACTATTGAAGCCGAGTATGACAATGTGTTCTGAATTACCAAATGGTTTGGATGGGAACAAATTGTGATAATATATAGCAACATTTTCATTTTCAAAGTCCAATTGAGTTAGGAGTTGTTCAGAAATCGCAGATGTATGTTTTTTGTATTCCCGGCGATGTATTTGTGCGATTTCTCGCGGTTCTATGGGCTGCATTTGTTTCACTAAATCGTTGGGAAGCGGCTTGACACTACTCTGTGAGGGGAGATAATTGTTGAGAATTGATTGACAATTAATGGTATAAGAGAACTGCTCTCAGCTATTCAGGGATTGTGAAATCACCGTGATCTCGACAACAATACTAAATAGTAAGCGTTTTTTTTCTAACACAGTCGAACAGCCACCAAACTAGACCCCAAATTCATGTATGAAATCGAACGACTGATTTGTGGCTGATAAGTTTTATCCGAACTTGCACGAAGGTCGGCTGTAAAAGTACTAACCGTTCTATCCTACAACAGCTGCAACAGCAAAAGTCTGTGAACTTTGTAACAAATGCCTGTAATGCTGCTTTCAAAGCCTCCTGCCCAAGCACCTTCCCGAAGGGCAAGAAGAAACCCCTGTGGTGGAATCCTGAGATTTCAGCACTGAGGAAAAACAGCAGGAGGCTCTTCAATCAAGCCAAGCGAACAGGTCTTGGGCAACTCTACAAAGACGCACCCAAAGATTTCAAGAAGGCCATAAAGAGGGCGAAACACGAATCTTGGGAAAACATCTGAAACAACATAGAAGAGAACTCTGAAGCCAACAGGCTGAGGAAAGTTCTGTCGAAATCTTTTTCAAGTATGAACTGTATCCAGAAGTCTAACGGTGACTGGACGTCATCATGTAACAAAATGCTGGTCCTTATGAGCACTAACTTCCCGGGCTGCTTGGACGACACCTCCGATAGTTCACCCAGTCCTTGAACCTACTTGTCCCTGCGTGATACCGTTAGGGCCGGCGTAAGTGATGAAAGGGTGGAGCGGGCTTTAATTTTGTTTCAACCTTTCAAATCTCCGGGACTTGACGGAATCTTTACCGCTCAACTACGAGAAGCTAAGGACATTCTGTGCCCTCTGTCTTCTCATATTTTTACAGCTTGCTTTACCCTTGTGCTTGACATTTCTTATTATATATATGTAAGTCAGAGGGTCTATCAGTGATCTCAAACAGGGAGGAAGTGAAGCTGATTGGCCTGAAATCCATTGGGTCAACTACAGATTTTTCTCCTGTCCTGGGAATGAACAGGCCACCAATTACTCGGGATAAACCCAAGGTCTACGCAACTCGCGTAAGTCAACTACACGATACCTCTATCTACCATCCCGGTAATGTAAGGAAATAAAAAATCTTTGCTCAACTTCATTCCAAAGATGTAGTCCTCATACGAAAATCCCTTAAAATCTCAAAATTCATAGAAAGGATAAGATCGATTCCTTAAGAAATATCGAAGAAACAAATATGCACACCTCACGTACTTAATACTTACCATAGTCGATTGCAAGCAATAGAATTCAACGAATCCGGTGGCACAGGATATTTGTCGAAATATGGCATCAGACTCCCAAACGTAATTAGAATGTAGTCTTAATAAAACAATTTCGGCTGGTGTTTGTTTAAAACTTAACTCATTACGCATAAGATGGTATTTGTGCTCCAATTCGTGTAGCCTGTAGAAGGGTCTGAGTGGGTAAGAAAAAAAAGAGAAGTTTCTGTTATTACTATCTGCAGATCGAGCAGATCAGCTCTCTTTTGCAAGAGTACCACTAATGTTACTAAATCTATACGTACCGCACGATAACGAAGCCTACAATGGTATTTTTTTCCAAAGGGCGTGTTGCATCGCCACAACGTATTGTTAGAAAACTGAATTCACTATTTGGATGTTCAAAAACTTCAGTCAATACATTGTGAATAATATTGGATTCATTCTGTGCTTCTGGTGGTACCAAAAAAGATGCCTTAGTTGGAGCTACATAAAATGTTGAAGCGCGTTTGTTGAGCACTGCGCACGAGCTAGCAACAATTTTTTCAATCAGGGGCACATCTTCGCTTAGAATATGCATTACTCCTATATGACCGAAAATCGCGCTTCTATTAATGACACACACAGTATCATCGATTTCGGCGCCTGGACGTGGTACGAGATTCTGCGTGTAAAAAAATTATACAAGTTTGCAAATTTGTGTTCAATGTGTCTTTTGTTAAAATCTACTTTAAAAGTACGCTTGACCGACGCGCGACGTGGCTAACCACATTCGTATTCTCTTTATTATACTTATTTTTTTCTTATCCTTATGATTAACCCTATGCGTTTTCCGATTCTTGTTTTAATCTGTATCCTTAGCCTTATCCTTATACTTATATTTATTTTTGTATTTTTATTAATGTTAATGTTAATGTTAATGTTAATGTTAATGTTAATGTTAATGTTAATGTTAATGTTAATGTTAATAATAATGTTAATGTTAATGCTAGTGTTAATGTTATTGTTAATGTTTGTGGTTATGGTTACATTTACGTTTATGTTTATGTTTATGTTTATGTTTACATTTACTTTTATGATTATGTTTATGTTTATGTTTATGTTTATGTTTATGTTTATTTTTATTTTTATGTTTATGTTTATGTTTATGTTTATGTTTATGTTTATGTTTATGTTTATGTTTATGTTTATGTTTACGTTTATGTGTATGTTTATGTTTATGATTATGTTTAAGTTCATGTTTATGTTTATGTTTATGCTTATGTTTGTGTTTTTTTCATATTTATGTTTATCCTTATCCCTATCCTGATGCTTATCTTTAACCATATAATTCTCCTTATATGTAATTATCTTTATCCGTATACTTATTTTTGTCCTTATCTTTACCCATATAATTGTCCAATACATATGTAATTATCTTTATCCTTATATTTATCCATATAATTATCCTTATTCTAATTCTCATCCTTATTCCTATCCTTTTACCTAAACTTATGCTTTTATCCTTTTCAGTATCCTTATGCTTAGCTTTATTCTTTTTCGTAATTTCATCCTTATCCTCATTCTAATCCTTAGCCTTCTAATTTACTTTAGCCTTACCCTTTCTTTATTATAGTTATCCTTATCCATGCCCTTATCCTTATCCCTTGACGTAAAATCACTAAATTAAATTTATTTATATAAAGAAACGCAATGAATACTCACCACAAACAAACCAAGCAACATCGCTACACTTCTCGACAGACGCGTGTTATTCGGTATGGATATGATGCAGTAATCACGATCCGGATGTGCGGTAAAAGCTGTCGCAATGAAACGTGAAGCAAAGCGGGTGTCTGTAGTTTCGCTAATGCCCAGCAATTTTATAGCGAACACATTCGAATGCATATCGAATGGAAAATCTCCATCTTCGTATGAACTATGCAATTCTGGTACATTGTAGGGAATGCGCAAACGTTTGCGAAAAGATGTTTGATAGTACTCATGACTCTTTAAATCTAAATATCAATGTATGTATATATTTATGTATGTTTGCGACAATTAATGTTGAACAAATTTTACGCACATGAATCCAATAATTGCATTTTGCGTAAGTACTCCTCTCGCAGATAAAAGTTTTTGTCGCTACCGTCGGCGTAGTTGAAATTGACACGCTTCTTTCGTCGGGCTGAGGATATGACATTTTGATCTCCCGACGAAGGACGCGTTGAATGCATGCGTACTTCACTTCTACTTTTTTTTGTGTGAGATCGGAAAGTTATTTATAAAGTTTCACATTTTACATAAATGGAATTCTGTTGTTTTCCAAACCTTTCTTACCTTTGCTTTCCCTCATCAGAATGATCAATTAATTTATTCAAATCCTGTTCATAAATTTTCCCGATTGCTTCCGATGTGAACAGTTTATAGTACGGCTTCGTCTCGATACCACTAATGCAATTAACAGGTATGTCTTATTTGTGTCGTATGTACATATGTAAGTATGTGAACTCGGTACTTACGAAACAATAATTGGTTTCTCCATATGTGGTTTATCTGGTAAGAATCGTATCATGTTACCGAAACCTTCACACTCAAAGTTTTCGATCAGGGTAAGAATATTGACATCATTATTAAGCCAAATAAAACCGACTGTTTGATGTTGCAACTAAGAAACAAAAAGATAGTTATTTAAAAAGAACAATCCTCTATAAGTTAAGTGCTAATCTTTCAAAGAATGAAATAAAATACTTCAATCTGTGGCATGACTTCCGTTAGAGACTTAACATCGGCTTAAGGAAAAATATTGCCTGGTTATCGGATAGTTCGCTTTTGTGGTTATATTTTTATTTATTTAATAACAATAAAATATACCTGGGAATAATAAATCTAAACAAAGAAATCTAATAATTAGGAAAGTGTGAATACCTAAAGCAGTGAAGACCCTGTGTCAAGAAAAATTACCAGTGTCTATTATTTTGTACACAATCTGTGGAACGTAGTGCCCATAGATTTGAAATGTCACTACGACCACACCTTTTCAAAGGCTATCGGTCACCGAGTGGTCTTCTTTATAGAAGTACTTCTCTGTCCCTACCAGCTTCAATGCAGGCAGCGAGCAAGGCACTTGGCTCTTTAAGCATCACCTCCAGCATAATAAAACAGTGCAGGGAAAACTTTATAGCTTTAACTGACAGGCATGTCGTTGCACTGATCTGGGTGCCGGGCACAACAGAATTCATGGCAACGAGATGGCTGACAAGCTGGCCGGGAATGGGTCGGCTCTGGATATCTCTGAGGCGAAGAAGGTTCTCGTGTCTCTGAGCTATATCAAGGGCCGCAATTCTCAGCACTGGAAAAATATGGCTAACAGTAGATGGGAAAACCCACATACTTTAGGGTCTGTCTTATCAAACCAAACAGAAGGGATCTATCTCGCCTAACTGGGGTTTACACAGGCCACTGGGCCGTGGGAATCCATGCTGAAAGGATTGGAACACAACACTTCTTGCCGTAGCTGTAATTCACCAAATGCAGAGAAAACGGTGAAGTATCTGCCCTGCGATCGCCAGCACTATGTAGTACTAGGATCAGGCTTCTAGGCAAAACCTGCTTCTGCGGTTAAACAGACATAAGTTATATCAACCCACTGAAGCTTCTTATATCGGCTTCTCTGATAACACCACCTCATATGAATTCGCCTTGACTGCCAGTGTTTAATTTTATCAGAAGCGTATGACTTCATTTATTCGTACATACCTCACAGGCGATAAATGTATTATTCTTATCATCTTCATCGATTTCTTTTTGCAGCTCCTCTGCTATGTAAAAATCGCCATATTCTTCACGCAAATCGGGACGATCTACATCAATCACTTCTACGATGTCGTCGTTATCTTCGGGTCTGTATGAAGAGATAGGATATTTAATAATTTGCTTTTTTTTGTAAGCAAAGTTAACTCTAGTCACTCTTATATTTTTTGCAAATAAAAAAATCGTGTTACTTACAAAGCTCTTCGATAGCGCATGCGCTCTATAACATTATTGCGATGTATTATGTGTAGCCGCTGCACATTACGACACCGTTGTACGCTGAAATTACGCGGATACAAAACAGTGCTTATACCCTGCAACATATCATAACAAGGAGTATCTAGAAAAATAAAACAAAAATTATATGTACAATTTGAAATTCAATGATGGAATTCCAACAAGTATTTTTTAAGCAAACAAATACAACCGACTTTAGTGCTCGTAACTTAGGAGTACCGTTAATTCCTTCATGACACAGTGTTAGGAGCGGCTAACAAAAAAAAAAATAAATATTCCGACGAATTTTTTGCGAAATATTTTTTTTACCTAAAAAAAAAAAAATAATATATATGTATATATTCCGACGAGTTGATAATAAAAGTAAATATTCCGACGAATTTTTCTTGGAATATATTTTTTTTACTTCGGTTAAAAATGTTCGCCACTCACCTTCTGGCCGTAAATCTGCGTCATCGGGCATTTGAACAATCACAACATATCGAATCTTGAACTCACGATGAAAGAATTCCACTAGTATGCGGTGCAAAAGCGTTGGATTGTATTTGGGGAAAAATATGAAACGCGTAAAGAACATCGTGTCGCCTCTGTTTAGTGCATATTCTTTGGTGGTGCTGTTCAAATTTGTTTTCAAAGTACAAATGTGTACAATGTTGGCAGCGCCACAATACATACCAGAAATGATGTTTAATCCAGTGCGTCCAGCAATCGGGTGGCAGCGCGCCTATTAGTGGATAATAGCTGAATTCCGCATAGCCGATAATGGTGACATCTGTTGGCTGCTTGCGCACCATGATTCGTTGCGTTGCATATTCCGAAAAGAAATCGGCGGCATGATAGAAACCGCGCGGTGAGGGACCGAAAAAACGAGTTTCCTTCCATCGCAGCAGTGTCGATATGTAGCCGAAATCACGCTCTATATTTGTTATACCCGTCATTATGTATTGATTTTCTTCCGCTTTGTTATCCATTTGCGCTTGGAAATTATAGGATTTCCTATGGCTATTCGATTCCGATTGCATTTTGTTATAAAATTATTAGAATCAAACAAGAAATGTAAATCAGTTTTTGTTTATGCTGTGCCTTTTTTAGCTAGCACTTTTTAATTTTGTATGTCTTTATGACTTCTTTTAGAGAAGTGAATGTGAAAGAATTTGAATGATTGAATTTTAGATCGATTGTTTATCGATGCTGTTTCAAGCGTTTGACTTATACATAGAACACAGTACGACTATGGCGTAATAAACGGGTGAAGTAATAAAACAGCTTTCTTCCACCATGGTCACTACCAAAATATTTAAGGCCCTGTCACATGCAGCTTTCGCGTCGCTTTGGCGTTGTTTCATTTTGACAGCAACGCAAGTATCGCAAGTATTTGCTACAATGAATGCTCTGACAGCGAATGTGTTTAGTTTTTGAATTTGAATTCTACAATTAAAAGACTTTCAAACCGCGCGCTAAACGGTAAGAGTTAACCAGTTACCAAATTTCCCTAAACTCAAAAACTGTAAATCAATTGAAGAGACTTCTGGAGTGATACCAAAAAAATTAAAGAGTGTGCAGGCTGTGTAAGTGTATTTCAACAGGACCTGAACGATGGGCTTTATTCTTTCAGAGAATCTGATGGAACTTATATCGCGGCGATGCTGGACACTTGCAACCTTCTCTTGAAGTCAAATTTTCCGAGTAGCAGGTTAATTCCTGACACAGGCAGTGATATGCAGGTGGAAAAGTTTATCTAATCAAGTTTATCGATGAGTTGTTGTATTAATCCACGGCGAAATTTGTAAAAAATCATCCAACGAAAACCATATTTTGAAATATGAATTTTTTTGCCTACCTGAATCATTGAAGTAAGTCTAATAGGCGGCATACACAGTGCGTCTGACTTGCGAGTCATCTCTGCCGCCAGAAATTTCCGCCTCACCCCACTCAGTGTTATACCAGCATCCGTTTCATTTTAGTCTGCAGGTGGCCTTTCAGGCTTCAACACGTATGAAGACAAAAAGTGACGATAAGTGCAGCAGGGCATCAAACTTTAAATACTTTTGAAGTTGAAATAAACGAATAATTAGATGAATCACTTGTTCTTCGTAGTGTCAATATATTCCATTATTGGTATTTTTCCTTTTTTTAAATTTGAAAAAGGTTCAATTCAGGAAAAGAAAATTGAGATTTCGGCTTCGGCCAAAATTCCAGCTTCGGTCGGACACTAATAAATGGGTTAAGGGAGTGTGAGCCGAGTAAAAATATTTCCATTTCCATACCATACATTTTCTATTTATTGATTATCTACTTTAACCCTTAACCCCATCTATGTATTTGCAATGAAGCAAGTTTGTGCACTCAATGCATTAAGCAAATATGATGCATTTGATTGAATGGAAGTTAATGGATAATATACTTAAGTATATGAATACATATGTACATACATACATACCCAACAAACATTTGGAGTCATAAATTAGTCATTTAGTAGTACTATTTCGGAGCCTTTACGCTCATAATGAGTTCATTTATGAGTCCTCCGAAAGTCGACTTATTTACTTATGTATATGAGCTTAAATTCATACATCAAATGAGCCTCAATATGAGTCATATTGGACTCTTATTGGCCTCATATACGGCTCAGTTTAAACTCTTTTAACACAAGTTTTGGCCTCATATGTATCTGAATCATATATTCTGAACGCTCAGAATATGTTTGCGGGGCATACGGGCTTCGCGCATCCAAGGTTGCTTGAGAGGTTTGAAAATCAGCCGCAAGTAATTGAAGCATCTAACCTCCGTCCACCACTAATGGGTAGTAATTTTGTGGTTTTAACGGACGATTGGTTTGATTGAATCAACATGAGTCTTCTGGACAGGAAATTTTAAAGCTCTTCAGCGCGTATGGAGTAAAGATACTTATGTATATGTATGTATATGTAAACCACATACAATCCTAGAGTTTACTTAAATAGAGACACATGTTCGTGAGTATGTGTCGCTTTAGATCTTCATATTTGAATTCCGAACAAAGGCGCCACATTAGCAATTTTGTTTTTTGAATTATGAAAATTGCTCTAAATCTTTTTCAATTTGACTTTTCATTAGAGCAATGAATAAAGTAAATCTGCAGGATTTCACAAAGCAATTGCAATGCCAACAAAACTACACCCCGTAAGGTATTATGTATTGTTGTTGTTTTTTTTTTTTTTGTTGACTGCGACAAAACCAAGTTGCTTGTTTGCTTTGGCCGGAGGTGATTGCTGTTATCTTTGTTGTTGGTAGTTGGCGATGGATTTTATGTAGTTCCTTCCCATTTGGTTATTTTGCCTTATGTTTGTAGCTGAGTTTGTTGCCTTTGTTATGTCATTTATTTTGAATAAGTAAAGGAATTCAACAGTCGTGACAGCAATATTAAGAAGAACAATAACAACAATAAAAAATAATAATCTCCGTTCATTGCATTGTCAGTGTGGTAAAATGACAGTCGCCACACTTGTTACGCTTCGTTGGCGCGTAGTTGGAAGGTAAAACATCTGCTGGTCGCAATCGTACAGTGGGTAGTTTTAGGCGATTTGTATGTATGTACTTATATTCAAAAACAAAACTTCAACAAAAATAAGTACATCGCTCTCTATTGTCAAGAAAAGAACAAAAATTAAGTTACAACTAGAACAACATATGACTTTATTTTTACTATGGGAGTATGTGCACATACATATATTCAAAACTTAAAAGCCGTTTTTCTCCAGTTTTGGATATTTTTGATTATGATACTCTTGCAGCAAATGTGCGATATGTACATATCAATTTCTTATTTGATTTTTCCCACCAAAAGCAGGGAACAATCGTCAATGGCAACACATTGGCGACTCCCCGATTTATTGCCGTGGTGATTAATCAGCAACACCATTTCTTTCATTTATTGCACAAAGTTTAGCGATTTTATTTTTATGTTTTTTGGTGTAAAATGAACTTTATTTTTATAAAAAATTATCGAAAATAAATTAGAATAAAAAGTTTTGCATATATTGCGAAAAATTTACTGTGCCAATTCTTTTGCTCGTCACTGTACATAACTTTTGCCAAAGATAGATTGAAAAAAAAAATATATAGGAAGCGCCATAGCGAGGGAGATAATTAATTTAGTTTTTAAATTTCAATTTTGTATTCAAAAGGAAATGAAATATTGAAAAGAATAAAATTGTCCAAAGTAATTAGTACTTAAAGCACACCTGTAGCAACAATAAAGCGCTAAGAAAGTAAGGTAGTAAGAAAACGACTCGACTGGGTGGGTTGCTTTCGGCGAACACTTTAGAGCGGTGGTGGGCATCAGCTTGCTTGTACAATGGCGATAAATTTGTTGTCGAGGTCAGAGATTTAAAGTATTTTGTACAACACTGCCATTAACTTTTGCGACATTTGAAAATTCCTTCATTCGTCTTACCAAAAAATGTAAGAAGACAATACAAAAATTGCAAATTTTCTTATTCTCCTTGCTTCAATTTTTCATTCCGCAATTAAAGAATTTTTGAAGTGTACGTGCGATTTCAAAAGAATTGAATATAAAAAATTCATTCAGTTTTATTTACGTCTGTCCGTTAATTATCCAACTATGTGCCACCCACCAGTTTTGACTATTAATATTTTTTTATCATTTATTTAAAAGCGGAGACAAACGCACAATAGATAACTTTAGAGATCGCGGTGCATATGGCCCATAATTATAATTATAACGATAATAATAGTAATAAAGCGTTATGTGACGAAGCGGATCGTGATCCATGGGGCTACGGATACAAAATAGTCATGCAAAAATTCGATACACCATCGCAAGAGATGGACGAGGTCCCAGTTCCGAGTTAAGTATATAGTGAATGCACTATTTCCCACACATCCGCTAAGACCAGATACAGTGTTCGCCGAGGAGCAAGCCGAGGCACCACTGTTTTTGCCAGATGAGCGTATCGAAATTATGGTTTTATTTCCAATCGCCCAACGAAATAAAGCCATTATGGCCTTATTGCCTGTGGAGATATTGCGCCCCACCACTCAACTATATAAGCAATTAGTAGGCGAGGCGGTACATTAAGCCGAAGAAGCCTGGCACTAGACACGGTCAATAGTGCTGTTAGTCTCGGCGGAGAACGCTTTCAACTCGGCAAGATGGGACGATATGTTGGAATCCTTGGAACGTTCATTAAAGGTTACTAAATATGCTTCAGAACAACCTCAGAGATCGTTGGCTATTGTACGACACAATGTCAAAAGGTCTGAGAAAAAGATGTATAACCGGCGGAGCGGCACAGATGTCTGTACTTGGCCCGAACCTCTGGAACGCCACGTATGACAGTCTGCTGGGCACGGAAATGCCGGACAGCGACTTCCTTGTCCCCTTCGCAGACGACGTGACCGCCGTCATAACAGCAAGAAACACCCAAGTGGCAAAGCTTAAATTGATCCAGGTCATGTGTAGTGTCAGTGGATGTATGAGCGTTCACGGCCAAAACAGAGATCGTACCCTCCGATAATATAGATATTGCCTGGCGCCCGGACTAGCTATCATGCTTGTAGTTAATCCATCATACTATAGAATGCTGAATGCCACACACTAGGAAAGCCCTTCTTATTGCTTTCACGCGGACATTATTGAAGGCTCCCTAAATTAACTGAGTTCAGCCAGGGAATATTTCTTCAATTATAATGATTCCTCGATGATACAAGCCAAGGATCTGCCCTTACAGTATGCCTGCTGCGCTTTCCTTTCACTGGAATGAATAGTATAACCTTCACTTTCCCTCAGGACTCAACTTCGTCGACCAAGCGAACAAACTCCTTCGCCGTTCGTTCAGTAATTTATTACACTTTCCAGTAATTTATTACTCTTTGAATAATCTATAAATGTCGCCTTTATAATGGACTAAGTTTCTATCAGCGGAAATTAATATTACCCTACTTAGTGCCGTTTTCTCAGCTAGGCTTT